GTTGACTGAAAACAAAAAACTAGCATCCAAGTAAGAGGATAGACCATTCCAGATGACAAATTCCAGACTCATTGGTAATATGCTTTTTAGGCTGGTGTACTTGGTATCTGGTTGCCTTGAAGGAGTTCAATTAGTGCTGCACAATCTGCTTTAAAAAAATTGTGTTTCCCAGGCCTAAATACTGGAGGTATCATCTTGAAAGTACTTTGTTAATCACACAGAGCTGAAAAAGATGTAGAATATAAAGCAGGAGCTGCAACTGATCACTGAACAATGGGACAATTTAACCCAGTCCTGTGCTTACAAGTGAATTGACAGAAACCAGAAGCAGAATATGTAAAACCTGTACATTATGCTTGGATGAAGAGGAAGTTTTTATCTTATGTCTAAATTACTTTTGGCAGCTGAACAATGGCTTTTTGTTTGGTTTGGTTTGGTTTGGTTTAAGGCAACTGAGTGTCTGTGCAGATATATTAAGTCTGATATGTTGGGATATGGTTTGAAGCTTTTCCTGACTGGCCTGATCAATCATGTTGTCATCCGTAACCTTCAGTGATTGATTAAAAAGCAGAACTCATCAGCAGTGATTCACTATGAGGAGATTATAATCTGACTATTTTACTGGGGTGATATATTATTCATAGTTTATAATAATTTTGGGGTTTTTTTCCTGGTATGTTCAGTCAGAGATTTTTTGTTTTCAAATTTAAATGAAAATAAATAGTAAACCTTTCCCATAATTTCCTTTTTTGATTATTATTTATGTGTCATACAAAACCTATAGGTGACAAGAGAATTATTTATATTATGTGACTGAGTGTAAATTACATGTGCCACAGCTGCAGGGAGGCTTTATCTGTTTTGTTGCTAATGACATTGGCATTTGCAGTGACATCTCAAAACTTAGTTAATCTAATACTTGAACAGCCCCCTTTCCTAAGTAATGTGGAGCTGATGACTTGACAAAAGTGTCTTATTAATACTTTGCAAAAAAATGTGAAAGAAGAAGATATGGCAGTTATGCTTCTTCTTTCAAATAAGATGTTCTCTTCAGCAAGAATGCCTCGATTATGATAATATAATGAGTCAGTATCTATGGAAATGTACATTCCAAAAGCTCCTATTGGCATCAATGAAAAAATGCTTAATGAAGGTAGATGGTGGTGTTTGAGTATGTGACCTCTGCTTTAGTTCGTTTTCTTTCAGGGGAACAAAGTTTCTTATCCACTGATGGTAGAAGTAATGGCTACGATCTCTGTAAATGAAATACCCAGCAATACTGATAATTTTTCTCTCACTTTCTGATGCGTTTGTTTTAGTGACATCCACATACCAGCAAAAGTAATGAGAATATTGCCACTGATTTAAAAAAGCTATGTATAGGGAACATTTTGCATTGAATAAGAGTTTGTCAGATAATCAGTTTTATTCTTTCCCTGGGGAACTCAATTTATTATTAGTCATTTTATTCTGCCAGTGTGGGTCTTACAGCCAGTGACAGGAACGATGGTAAATATATAGCAGTGAAGCCATACAAGTTGGCAGAGACGTGCAGATGCGATTAAATTATTCCAGCTCTTTAAAATAAAATCTAATCCAATATCAGGTTGTCAGTTTGTGTAATCAGTTTCCCATTTTTAAAAATGCACTGCAGTCTTAAGCCAAAGGTCTTATTCAAATAAATAGATTGAAATATACCTATTGATTTCAGCGAGTGTTGTACCAAGTCTTCAATATTTTATATAAAGTTTTGGGAGTAGTCATCTCCAAAGACAATTATGAGAAAGGAGCTCCAACTCACCTCAGAATATCAGTAATTTATTCTCTCTAATTTATGAAACTTCATGGCATTGTAGAAAGTGGCATCTTTCTTCCACAGGATAGACATAAATTTCTAAGTCAAATATTTCTTCCTAGTGGTTCCACTACCTATCAGGTTTATATATGTTATGGTGTTGGCTGAATTTCTCACACAGAGGAATGAACATGTATGACTGACAGCAGAATGTAGTCTTGGGAAAAACTGAAGACTTTGGCCTCTTCACTGGAAGACTCAAAACAAAATGATGAGTTAATATTCTCTTGATTCCCTTTCAGTATTTATGACTGCTACTCTGAGAAATATTTTACTATTTTATAAGGCTGGTGTGCCTCCAGAAACTAAAGAATGTCGAATGATAAGCCCATAGAAATAAGATTTTGTCTGTACTCCTAAATGAACAGCGTTTCTGAACAGGTCAGGAATAATTGATGAATGCTGGAAATTGCTGGGAGAGCTGATATTTTGTAACCACAGTGAGGATTAGCACACATTTCTTGTAAGAATGAAAACTCATTAAAAATACATCTCTGTACTGAAATGGGATGCCCTTTAAAAGAAATACATATGCTTATATATATGCACATGCAATTGTACATATAAATGCATATATAAAAGGCAGCAGGATAGAAATAGAGAACATGTGAAAAAGTGTGCAAGGCCTTTCACCAGTAGGTCTAGTTTTATGATTGTTCTGCCATCTGATTAATGTAATCTTTTTTTCTGGAGTAAGTATGAGCTTTCCTGAAAAGGAGAATAGACAAAAATGTGATGTGGTACATTGCAGTATAACTTTGTGGTCTATCACACACACACACACACACATATATATATATATATATATATATATATATATATATGCATATGTATGCATACGTATGTATATGGCAAATAAATATAAATTGTGTACATATGATAAACATATACAGACAGTAAAAATAATGATGTTAACAAGCATGTTGCAAGCCCTCTGTTCTCTGTGAACCACCTATCTGACACATTTCTCTTCCTGGGAAACACTCACATGTATGCAATATTGGGTATAATCACCTGCAGGAAAATTTCATTGCATTGCCTGTGACAAGGCTGGCAGGCACTGGGACACCTGTCTGAAGCAGACTTCTTCAGTTATCTGAGAAAAGAAAAGCAAGGGACACACTTAATTCCCTAAATTATGCAGAGATATAATCTGGGCTGTCTCAGCATTTCCCAGGAAAGCTGGGTGCCAGCGTTGCACAGTGGCTGTTGCATCCTTCCTTGAGAAAGAGGATCAGTTGTGTGGGACACAGAAGCAGCTCTCTGGTGTGTGTCCCAAATGTGACCAGTTGCTGGGTGTTTGTATCATGGCTCTGCCTCTTCCCATACCTCCCTCCCCCATCTGGGATCTCCCCACATCAGATCTTTCTCTGTCAGCACAGCAGTGTGTATCGTTTCACCATTTTACTGAACAAACAGTAAATGAAGGGAGAAACTATAAAAATTATACCTTGATATAAGATATTGCAATCCCAATATGTCTTTGTATATTTCTGATAGTTGTTCCATTTTGTAGACACCAATACAAGCAGGTTCCTTAATTTATACTATGTAAACTCCAGGATACATGGTGAAAGTAAGGTACACTTTAACTGCACTTTAATTGAAATATATTCCTCTCAACTCTTCTGAAAAATGGAAATGATGGAATATGAGTAAAAGTCACCATAAGAATAATGGGTTAGAAAGAAAACATGCCTTTGCTATACCTAATTTCATTTGCTAGTAAAATTTTTTCACAAATATTCTTTTCAGAGGGACACATGCAAAGCATAACAAGGAATGAAAATATGCAATAATACAATCTCTGAAAAGGCCCATTAAAAAATCTGAGCTATCATTAAACTGTAGCAGACTTCTTGAGAGCACATAATTCTTAAATGATAAGAGTTTTAATATATTAATGAGGTGAAATTATGAGGCTTGTTGTTACTAGGATATGCACTGGTTGTGTACTTTTTGCAAAAGCTTAAGAGGAGCTTAAGAAACATTTGTTCTGTGCATATAAAAATACCTTAAGCCCATAAAATTTCTTTGAAATAAGTATATTTTATGTCTAATACAGTGAGATTTCTATTTTTAGTAATTTTTTTCAAGTGAAGATGAATACAACTCTATGTTTTGTATGCTTACTGCCTTTTTATACAATTTCTGCCCTAATTCACCTTTCTATATCATTCTCCTGAAATCTCAGGAGAAATCTTGGCAGTTTGATTATGTTTAAAATACTTTAAAACTGTTTAAAATAGTACTTGCCTTCTCTGTGAATTGAATATTTGATTTTGCTTTTATAGTCAATTGCTTTTTAAATTGGTGGCTTTCCCTAAACTTGAATATCAAGTAATATTTCAATATCACTTTCCCTACACTTTAATATCAAATAATAGTCTTTTATCCTCACCCCTGCTTCTTTTTAGGTAGATTTAAAGAGTTCCTTGCAAAGGGAAATATATCTATTACATTATGAGACAATTTAGCTTGTATGCAAGAGACATAGGTTTCTAGGAGTTTACACAAAATATGCTTGATTTCAAGCCAGTTAAATTATGAAAATGTATACCATAATGCTTTGTTTAGAAGAGCTGAGATGGTGGCCAGATCCTTGAGGAAACATAAAAAGATTAATGATGGAGTTCTGCCTGGCTCTCAGATTCTCACTTCCTGAATCAGTGTAGCAGAAACATATAAGATGACACATTGACTCTGGGGAGAGAGCAACAATGATTTGCCTTATTATTTCACATGTCAGTCATGTAATAGAGCAATATTGTGCCAAGCAGTAAAAGAAGAAATTTCTAGCTTATCTGTTCTCCAGCTTGAAGAACCATTGCAAATTTTTCTGAAATGAAAAGTATGTATTTGCAAATTAGGACTTTATTATGGGTAAGAACAAAGAAATATCTAGATCTTCTGAGACATTCTACTTGGAATCAGGACAAAATACCAAGAATTAGAAACAGTGCTCAGTTTGCATATTAATGGCCTTCCAAGGAAGTACCCTATGGATCATCAGATCCAGAAAAATTATTTTGATGGAATTGTTGTGTACTCTTTCTTCTGCAATGCAGAGCAAAGTTGCTTAATGTTTTTTCAGTCATTCTCAAATGTCTGTACATGTTGCCTTTGTTGTTTGGTTGATTTATAGATCTATTTGCGATTTTTGGACTACGAGATGCAGAATTCCAATGAATGCAAAAGGAATTTTGTAGCAGTCTATGACGGAAGCAGCTCGGTGGAGGATTTGAAGGCAAAGTTTTGCAGCACAGTTGCTAACGATGTGATGCTGAGGACAGGTTTGGGTGTAATCCGCATGTGGGCAGATGAAGGCAGTCGAAACAGCCGATTCCAGATGCTCTTCACATCTTTCCAAGAACGTAAGACCTAATCAATGCACCTGCCTTTCAGTTTGTTAAATGATACAAGTCATAAAACCTGTTAATATTTTCTTCATGCAGAGCAGTCACTGAAGTATATTGCCAAACAAGCTATGTAAATATTCAAAACAGTTTTTATCCCAAGCATTTGTAGTGAGCAATAATTTGTAATGCAGTAGACAGACTACAAGATTCAAAACCAGCAAAACAGGTACAAATGGTCATGACCTGTCCAGTCATATAACTGTGACTTTTGTCTGATCCCCAAGCTACATGAAAGTTTTTCCTTACACAACATGGAAAATAAAACAGCCCTGAAAGTTTTTATTAAGTCAAATGATTTTATCTGAATTTGATTTTTTAGATCTCATTATGATATGAATTTGAAGAATACCTTATGATTATTTTAGCACAGATAGTGTGTGCGTATAGCAGTGAACATGTGTGTCAGATATTGTTTAGCAAAGAGTTTAGGGTTTTTTGTAGCAACAAAAACTTTCTAAAAGCCTTTCATATTTTGATTAATAGTCTCTTTATGTGCCTTACTTGTGTTTATATTTTTATATGAAATGTGGATTAAAATAATAGGCAATATAACCTGTTAAAGAAACAAAATGTAGCTCTAGCTAGTTTAAGAAAATAAATAATCAAACAAATCACAAAAACCCCTCAACAAAACCCAATAGTTCCATTAATTGAAAACTATTGACCCAGACAACCTTTTGAAAGTCCTGTGAAACATATCAATTTGTTTCCTTTGATAGGAATAATACCTATTTGGCCTCTTTAGAAAGGAGCATTTATTTTCACATGCTGGTTTGTGTTAATTTTTAATGTGTTTTTGGTTTGTGCATCGTCTGTCTGACAGAAAAAAAGATTTCTTTGCAGCTGTCAGTGGTTGGAATGAAGGCTCAACCCTCCAAATACATTCTTCATCTATATTCTGTGTGTGTGTACCCTGCAATGAAGCAATGAGTCTCTGTTGAGAACAGCCTCCATAATTCCTTAATTATGGCTCTGATTAAAAAATTTCTGACATTTTGCATGCCTGAAACTGCATGAACCCCTGTACTCTCACACTTGCAGCCTTAGGGTGGATTATATTTATCTTGCCTGCAAATCAGGCTGGGGTCTAAAAGACACTGAGAACCCTGGGTTGAGATGATACTGCCCTTTTCTCATTTCTGCAACTGGAGATGTCTTGAATATTCAAGATCTGATTCATTTTTTTCACAACGCATCTTGATCTGTTACCTTAGAAACAACTGCATAGACACTGGAGGTTCACAGCATATAAAGAGTGAAGCACTATGATGACTAACTTGAAACTAAGGTTTGAATAGCTTATGTTTGCAAAACTCCCATATTTTAAAGGATAATAAGGAAAAATGTGGGGTTTTTTTTCTCTTACAGTATTCCTAATATATTTATCTGACACGCTACATCTTATGAGCTACTCCTTTCTTGTAAGCAGATGATAGTTTATACTGAATAGTATTCTGACTGAGAAATTCAAAATACAAACATAATGTGCTTTCTGTGAATTTGCTCTGAAGAGTCATTGCTCACTAAAGGCTGAAAATTTATTAAAGGCATTTAGGCTTTAATACTTTGAAATATGTCTACATAGCCTGCTCATAAATAGTAGAAGAAACTGCATCTGTGATTTTAATGCTGGGAATTAACTTTAAAGATTTAAAGGTGATGCAGATGGTATTTTCTGTGTCTCGTCAGTTGTCCCTAAGTGCTGCCCTATGCCACACACTGGTGCTGGCTGTCAGGAGCTGGCTAGAACAGATGTCAGTGAGACACACTCTGAGACACAGCTCATGGCATGTAAACTGCAGCGTCTTTCAGCAGCATGTGGGAATAATTAGATCATCTGCATGGAAGAGAAGGAATGTCAGACCTCATTCAGGGAGATGTACATCAGGGAACAAACACCTGTGTGTCTATTCAGGGACAAAGAGAGGAAAAAATGCTATTTTGTTCATATAGAACTGAGAAAGGAAAAAGAAGATTACATTTATGTTGCAGTACTGTGTGCGGGAAAGAGTGACAAAGTAGAATTCCTGTATTTTCTGTTCCTGTGGGAATGAACCACACCTCCTACCATGGCAGGAGGTGTTGTGATCTGTTGCTCCTCAAGCTCCTCTCCTTAGTGTGGAGTTAGGCTGTTGAGACTGTGAGTTTTCCCTTACACAAGGTTCTGTGTACTGGAAGTGTTATCTTGTGGAAACAAGCTACTAAGCCATTGTTTTCTTTAAGTCTAAGTCTATTCAGTGTTTATTCCAGTTACAGAGCCATTTCCTGGGCACTTGACATTTGTGTAAAACAGAGAAGTCTTAAAGATATTTCTTCTATGATTATTTTCATATGTTTCGATCAGTGTGTTCCAAATCCATTTAAAGTATGCATGTATTTTTTGGTTGGCATCTAAAAAGTGGTCTTAAAAGTTTCCAAACCTCTCACAGTGATGCTTTCAGAGCAGCAGTGCTATAAATATGTCTTAAGGAAAGGCATACAATGCATGAGGTTGTTAAATTTCCTGCACCAGAAAATCAGGAGTGATCATCATCATCAAAATACTAGTTGAGCTCAAATACTTAATAACTGATTAATTCTTAATAGGTGATAATTTATAGTGATGCTCTGATATTTCATTGTCAGCATTATTAACTATTCCAACTGTCATTGTGAGGTTTTACTCCTTATATTCTTACCTTTTTATCTTTAAGATATCTTCTAAGCATGATCATATCTTTGTGCATGGGAGTAACTGTTATGCTAGATTTTAAATATCCAATAAATTAAGAATCAGTAAAATAATATAAGAATCAGTAAAAGGTAAACAAAAATCTGGTATAATCAGAAGGTGTATGTTCATCTGATAAGAAAACTTGAAAAATGAGTCTTTGTTTTCTCACCCACTGACTAAATGTTCATTTCATTTTCTATGATTGAAGAGTGATCTCCAGCCTGATTAATGACAGACATGCTACACCTACAGCTTCTTCAAAGAGCTGCTCCTCAGCAGACACACCTACGCTTTAGACTAAAAGCAGATTTGTAGAACCAGGGCATATGGCATAAGAGAAAAACCCTCTGTAAGCACAAACAAGATGTTCACTTTCTCACATCTGACTGCCCTTTGGTAGCACAGCTTCCTTCTGTGCCCATAACCCTGCACCAGAAACCCCAGACCAGGAAAACTTAATTCCTTCTCTTATTGTCCCTTTGAGCTTGAAGTCTGTTTTTAGAGCCCTGTCACACTCAACTTTCCTAATGGAGAACAAGTTCTATCTTATTTTATTTTTATGAACAAAAGTCATATTTGGACAGAAGTCTAAGGCCATGCTTAGAAGAGTAGTGTGCAGTTTGATCAAGCAATGGCACTCAAATCCTTGTTTACAGGATGACCCAGCATGAGCAGTTCCTTAATGGGGAAGAGGGACGGCAGGCATGCGGTCCTAGGGACTGTATCTTTGTGGCAAAGCTAAGGGAAGTACTGAAAAAGGGAACAGCAAGCTGCTTAGTGCAACCTGTGAAGAGGTAGTTTCTCTTGGCAAGGACTTAGGCATGTAAACAGATTGCAGCTTTGCTGGTTTTGCTCTCTGCTTCCACACTAATATTTTAAAAAGAAACCGTTGGGATTGCCTCCTTACTGGTGAGCACTCAGCTGTGATTTTCTTCCCTTCTGTGCTATTTGCAGCTATCTCTGGTGAAAAACCCTCACTGGCTAAGCACCCCAGTGACTCTCTGATCCTGAACAAAATAATTGTTTTTGGTGCCCAGAGTGTATTAACAGAACACAGGCTGGAGGTCTGAGCACAGGCTCCTGACCTGCCATTGTCTGGTCAGTCTGTATATCAAAAAAAACCCTGAACAAAAAACCATGAAAACACATATAGGTGTTTTTGAAAGACTAGATTATTGATCTGTATGTGGTATTAACTATCCATAAAAGTTACATATATCTTGCACAGAGCTGTCTGAAGGTGATTGTGGAGCTGTCTGAAGAGCATAAGTATTAAGTCATCTCATTTTCAAGTTTCTAATAGCTGTATTTTAATGAGCCTTTTTTTTTTTTTTCATTAGTGGCAAATCATATACTTGTAGCTCACAGTACTATAACAATCCTAATAATTTTACAACTTTAATAAAGCAAGTGAAACTGTCTCTCAATAAATATTTTTCCTTGAAGAGACTGATAGAAAACTTCTTCCTTCCAATGATGATTCAAGGAACATCTGAAGAATTTAAATTTTCCTTCTCGTGTGGAGGAAAGAAAGTCTTATTCTTAATTAAAGGGCAATGGGAAAATCCAAGTGATCTGTACTCAAAGAATTCGTGTGTGCAGAGCATGATGCAATGAGCTATCTTGAGTAGAGGAGGAGTAGGTGTGAAATTTCTAACAACTTCAGTGTAAAATGTTTCTCACATCTAACCATTGTTAAGATTTCAGAGTTTTTCCATTCACCCTTAGGAGGAAGGAAGACCTTTCAAAAATGGTATGACAAGAGAGGAAGGGGAGAAAGGAGGGAGAGAGATATGCCTAAAAATAACAAGTAGGGTAGGACATTTTTCTAAGATTATCCCATCCTGGCCTGAAATCCCTTCCTTGAAACAGTCTCAAAGGGTAAATCCACACAGTTCAATGAAACACAGCATAGACACCCAAGCTGGCTTGCTCAGCCAGTTCTCACCCTGGAAGAAAAGGAGTTACACTAACTGTGGATGGTGCTGAGAAATAGTGAGAAATACACTGGAGAAAGCACTGCACTGAAGTGGAACAGCCAGGCTGCACACCAGTTCCATAACAGATCTGCTTTTAGCTCCATCTTGTAAAAGTATTTTGGCCTGCCTATGACTGCAATAAATATCCAGAGTATCCTGCAATGCCCAACAAAGTGATGCTTAATGCACAGAGATTTTATTACAGAGACAGAAGCATTTTATTACTTATGAAATAGCATCACAATGGTACAATAATTATTAAT